CTGTGCTGGGCCCCCAGCAGGCCTCGGAAGTAGCGACAGTTTCACAGATCGCAGCCCCCCGCAAGCAAGACAGGAAGAGGCAAGAGGGAGGCGGGAAGGAAGGAAGGAGTGGAGACCACACTGCTCTATTCAAAACGAATTCCCAACCAAGGAGGATTGGGAATTACCCTGGCGACGTACCCAACCCCTGCGCAAACGCGGGGCGCAAATAGTTTAGGACACTTTATACGCGGGGCGGTTCCCCAGCAGGCCTCGAAAGTGACGACAGTTTCACAGATCACAGCCCCCCAGGGATGGCGAGGTCTAATTTGAATCTGCCCCTGGCGTCACTGTGCTGGGCCCCCCAGCAGGCCTCCAAAGTGGCGACGGTTTCACAGATCGCAGCCCCCCAGGGATGGCGAAGTCAAAGTTGAATCCGCGCGTGGCGTCACTGTGCTGGGCCCCCCAGCAGGCCTCGAAAGTAAGGACAGTTTCACAGATCGCAGCCCCCCAGGGATGGCGAGGTCTAATTTGGGTCCGCGCGTGGCGTCACTGTGCTGGGCCCCCCCAGCAGGCCTCGAAAGTGGCGACGGTTTCACAGATCGCACCCCCCCAGGGATGGCGAGATCTAATTTGGGTCCGCCCGTGGCGTCGCTGCGCTAGGCCCCCCAGCAGGCCTCGAAAGTGGCGACAGTTTCACACATCGCAGCCCCCCGCAGGCAAGACAGGAGGAGGCAAGAGGGAGACGGGACGGGAAGAAGGGAGTGGAGACCACACTGCTCTAATCAAAAACGAATGGCCAACCAAGGAGGGTTGGGAAAAAGAATTACCCTGGCGACGTACCCAACCCCTGCGCAAACGCGGGGCGCACATAGTTTAGGACACTTTATGAAAGGGGGGCGATGACGGAGCGAGGGTTACATATGTCTACAGACGAAATCCGGGAGACTCGCAGGACACTGGCTAAAGGACAAGGACTAGATAAAGCTGATTAGTTACAAGCCCTGAGCAACCCTAGCAACTTCGAAAGCGGGGATCTCAGATCGCAGCCCCCCAGGGATGGCGAGGTCTAATTTGGGTCCGCGCGTGGCGTCACTGTGCTGGGCCCCCCAGCAGGCCTCGAAAGTGGCGACAGTTTCACAGATCGAATCCCCCCAGGGATGGCGAGGTCTAATTTGGGTCCGCGCGTGGCGTCACTGTGCTGGGCCCCCCAGCAGGCCTCGAAAGTGGCGACAGTTTCACAGATCGCAGCCCCCCAGGGATGGCGAGGTCTAATTTGGGTCCGCGCGTGGCGTCACTGTGCTGGGCCCCCCAGCAGGCCTCAAAAGTGGCGACAGTTTCACAGATCGCAGCCCCCCAGGGATGGCGAGGTCTAATTTGGGTCCGCGCGTGGCGTCACTGTGCTGGGCCCCCCAGCAGGCCTCGAAAGTGGCGACAGTTTCACAGATCGCAGCCCCCCAGGGATGGCGAGGTCTAATTTGGTCAACTGTGCTGGGCCCCCCAGCAGGCCTCGAAAGTGGCGACAGTTTCACAGATCGCAGCCCCCCAGGGATGGCGAGGTCAATTTCTCCGCCGTGCCCACTGTGCTGGGCCCCCCAGCAGGCCTCGAAAGTGGCGACAGTTTCACAGATCGCAGCCCCCCAGGGATGGCGAGGTCTAATTTGAATCCGCCCGTGGCGTCACTGTGCTGGGCCCCCCAGCAGGCCTCGAAAGTGGCGACAGTTTCACAGACCGCAGCCCCCCAGGGATGGCGAGGTCTAATTTGAATCCGCCCGTGGCGTCACTGTGCTGGGCCCCCCAGCAGGCCTCGAAAGTGGCGACAGTTTCACAGATCGCAGCCCCCCAGGGATGGCGAGGTCTAATTTGAATCTGCCCGTGGCGTCACTGTGCTGGGCCCCCCAGCAGGCCTCGAAAGTGGCGACAGTTTCACAGATCGCAGCCCCCCAGGGATGGCGAGGTCTAATTTGAATCTGCCCGTGGCGTCACTGTGCTGGGCCCCCCAGCAGGCCTCCAAAGTGGCGACGGTTTCACAGATCGCAGCCCCCCAAGGATGGCGAGGTCCAATTATAAACTGCGCGTGGCGTCACTGTGCTGGGCCCCCCAGCAGGCCTCGAAAGTGGCGACAGTTTCAGATCGCAGCCCCCCAGGGATGGCGAGGTCTAATTTGAATCTGCCCGTGGCGTCACTGTGCTGGGCCCCCCAGCAGGCCTCGAAAGTGGCGACGGTTTCACAGATCGCAGCCCCCCAGGGATGGCGAAGTCTATTATAAATCTGCCCATGGCGTCAGTGTGCTGGGTCCCCCAGCAGGCCTCGAAAGTGGCGACGGTTTCACAGATCGCAGCCCCCCCAGGGATGGCGAGGTCTAAGTTGAATCTGCCCGTGGCGTCACTGTGCAGGGCCCCCCAGCAGGCCTCGAAAGTGGCGACAGTATCACAGACCGCAACCCCCCGGAGGCAAGACAGGAGGAGGCAAGAGGGAGGCGGGACGGGAAGAAGGGGGAGTGGAGACCACACTGCTCTATTCAAAACGAATGCCCAACCAAGGAGGGTTGGGAATTACCCTGGCGACGTACCCAACTCCTGCGCAAACGCGGGGCGCAAATAGTTTGGGACACTTTATAAGGGGGGCGATGACGGAGCGAGGGTTACATATGCCTGCAGCTGGTAGATCCGCGTAGCGCGTCACTGTGGATCCGAGTATCGCGTCACTGTGCTGGGCCCCCCAGCAGGCCTCGAAAGTGGCGACAGTTTCACAGATCGCAGCCCCCCAGGGATAGCGAGGTCTAATCTGAATCTGCGTGTGGCGTCACTGTGCTGGGCCCCCCAGCAGGCCTCGAAAGTGGCGACAGATTCACAGGTCGCAGCCCCCCCAGGGATGGCGAGGTCTAATTTGAATCTGCCCGTGGCGTCACTGTGCTGGGCCCCCCAGCAGGCCTCCAAAGTGGCGACGGTTTCACAGATCGCAGCTCCCCAGGGATGGCGAGGTCTAATTTGAATCTGCGTGAAGCGTCACTGTGCTGGGCCCCCCAGCAGGCCTCGAAAGTGGCGACGGTTTCGCAGATCGCAGCCCCCCAGGGATGGCGAGGTCTAATTTGAATCCGTCCGTGGCGTCACTGTGCTGGGCCCCCCAGCAGGCCTCGAAAGTGGCGACAGTTTCACAGATCGCAGCCCCCCAAGGATGGCGAGGTCCAATTATAAACTGCGTGTGGCGTCACTGTGCTGGTCCCCCCAGCAGGCCTCGAAAGTGGCGACAGTTTCACAGATCGCAGCCCCCCAGGGATGGCGAGGTCTAATTTGAATCCGCGCGTGGCGTCACTGTACTGGGCCCCCCTGCAGGCCTCCAAAGTGGCGACAGTTTCACAGATCGCAGCCCCCCAGGGATGGCGAGGTCTAATTTGAATCCGCGCGTGGCGTCACTGTAGCGGGCCCCCCAGCAGGCCTCGAAAGTGGCGACGGTTTCACAGATCGCAGCCCCCCAGGGATGGCGAGGTCTAATTTGAATCCGTCCGTGGCGTCACTGTGCTGGGCCCCCCAGCAGGCCTCGAAAGTGGCGGTTTCGCAGATCGTAGCCCCCAGGGGCGAGGTCTAATTTGAATCAGCTCGAAAGTGGCGACGGTTTCACAGCCGCAGCCCCCCAGGGATGGCGAGGTCTAATTTGAATCCGCGCGTGGCGTCACTGTGCTGGGCCCCCCAGCAGGCCTCGAAAGTGGCGACGTTTCACAGATCGCAGCCCCCCAGGGATGGCGAGGTCTAATTTGAATCCGTCCGTGGCGTCACTGTGCTGGGCCCCCCAGCAGGCCTCGAAAGTGGCGACAGTTTCACAGATCGCAGCCCCCCAGGGATGGCGAGGTCTAATTTGAATCCGCCCGTGGCGTCACTGTGCTGGGCCCCCCAGCAGGCCTCGAAAGTGGCGACAGTTTCACAGATCGCAGCCCCCCAGGGATGGCGAGGTCAATTTGAATCTGCGTGTGGCGTCACTGTGCTGGGCCCCCCAGCAGGCCTCGAAAGTGGCGACAGTTTCACAGATCGCAGCCCCCCAGGGATGGCGAGGTCTAATTTGAATCCGCGTTTGGCGTCACTGTGCTGGGCCCCCCAGCAGGTCTCGAAAGTGGCGACGGTTTCACACATCGCAGCCCCCCAGGGATGGCGAGGTCTAATTTGAATCTGCGTGTGGCGTCACTGTGCCGGGCCCCCCAGCAGGCCTCGAAAGTGGCGACGGTTTCGCAGATCGTAGCCCCCCAGGGATGGCGAGGTCAAATTTGAATCCGTCCGTGTCGTCACTGTGCTGGGCCCCCCAGCAGGCCTCGAAAGTGGCGACGGCTTCACAGATCGCAGCCCCCCAGGGATGGCGAGGTCTAATTTGAATCCGTCCGTGGCGTCACTGTGCTGGGCCCCCCAGCAGGCCTCCAAAGTGGCGACAGTTTCACAGATCGCGGCCCCCCGCAGGCAAGACAGGAGGAGGCAAGAGGGAGGCGGGACGGGAAGGAAGAAAGGAGTGGAGACCACACTGCTTTAATTCAGAGGTTTGGGAAGAAGAGGTGCCCTTTTCGGGCGCTCGACCCTTTCGGGGCCCCAGAGGGCCCCCTTGTCTGCGGCGCTCGCGGGCCCCCCGCTGATCGCCCCCCCTCACGTGAGGCCCACGCCTTACCTTAGAAAAAAGCCGAGACGCCGGGCGTCCAGAGCCTGGAAGCGGACCCTCACGGCCTTCTTGGGGCTCATCCTGGCCAGTGTTCCGGGCAGCGCCCACCGGCTGCGGCGAGAGACTCGAGACGCGCCCCCAAACCTTCGAAGCGACGTCGTCGTCTCCCCTGAGGTCAGACGTTGCGAACGAATTCGCCCATCGTGGCAAATCACGACCATAGCCCTGGACCCCATCTTTTTGTGAAATTTGTCGAGCCAGATTGATTTGTGATGGTTCGTGAATAAAATGCAATGCTAGGATTTTAGGGCCCGTCACTGACGCGTAGCTTTGGCGAATCACCGCTCAGGCTTGCAATCGCTGGCCACGCTCCCTCCGCGCGCCATGGACACCATGCAGAGCAGCGCGAACGTGATACCCCCCACCTGTCGGGCAGATGGAGGGAAATCCTCTCCATCGTCCATCCTTGCCCGCTTCCTATTCGTAAGGCTTTGGACTTTGGGCTGCGCACAGACAGCCCCTTCAGGTGGTCCCGGCTGGCCCAAACAGGCCCCCTGATTAGTCTGGGGCGGTCAACACCCTGGCGCCGCCTCCCGTGGCGCCTCTGGCGAGTTCCGCGCCCCAAGGTTGGGGCGTTGAGATCGCCCTGGACTACTCGGGGAGGTTGTTGAGGCCAGCTTGGACCACTCGGAGGGCCTGTTCAACCACTTGGGAATACCTCGGAGGCTGTCTGTGCGCCACCCGAATCCTAACAATCCCTCAACCTCCCACTTCCTCTCCCAAAGCACGAAGAGGACCCAAGCCTCATGGATTCATGGCCCGAACCACTTCAGGCATTTGTCTCACGGATGGTGCCTGGACTCCTGGACAAACCCATGTTGGAAGCCTGGGACACCAAGAAACGACCCATGACGAACAAAACTAGAATCAATGCAGCAAGGTGTCACTAACACTTGGGGCCCAAGTTCTGAGCCACCAATGCCACTGACCAAAGAAACGTCGTCGGAGAGGAAGGGGGAATAGATGAGGCGGATGAGAAAGAGTAAAATGAGAAACGCATCGGATTATATACACGGCTCGTTTCGAGGCGGGGGGAGGAGTCGGAGTATGAGGAGGAAGAGATAAGCAGTCCACCCTTCTTCTCCTCGAGGTATGAAGAGAAACATGAGGAACAGAAGGAATACCAGGCGGAGGAGGAAATAACTGCACGAACAACGGCATCGGAAGGGACAGGGGACAGCGAGTATGAGGAGAAGAAGAAACAAACGAGTAAGAAACGTGAGGGAAAAGCAGATACGAATAATAATAAAGATGGGATGTCAGTGTTTGCTCAAGCAGGGCTGCAACACGCACAGGAGTCCTCGAAGACGACCAAGATAGCATCAAGACTGCCAGAAGCCCAGAGAGGGCTCCAAGACGATACCCGAGAGGGCCCAAAGAAGAAATAATCGTCAAAAACCCGGCAAAAATATTTGAACATGTCAGCATTGTTGGTCTTAGCAGCGTCCAAGACCCAAGACGGCTCAAGAGGCCCCCATGATCGCGCCAAGACGGCCCGAGAAGCCCCAAAGCGGGCCCCAAGATGGCCGAGGAGAGCCCCAAGACGGCCCAAGAGGCACCCAAGATGGCCCAAGAGAGCCCCAACAGGGCCCCAAGAGGGCACCAAGAGAGGAACTCGAACTGCCACTCCAGGCCATTCGCCCTAAGAGGACCCCTGAGACCGCCAGCAGGCGCCCAAGAAACTCTTAAGAGGCCCGAAGAGGTCCACAAGAGGCCCAAAAGAGGGTTCCCAAGAGGCCGAAGGCCCCACACGTTGATTTCATCCCTCTTCTGGGGGTCGTCGAAATGACGTAAACCTCTTGAGTAAGGATGGGGAACCAGCGGTCCATCGTGCTTCCTGTGCACCAGTGATGATGCTCAAGAAGAGAAACCAATCACAAATGCATGTGTGATCACGATATCCACGTGGGCTGATATCCAAAGCATTCTAGATCCAAAAGGAAGCAATCCGGATCGGCCGCGCCAAGCGGCACAATGGCGCCATCGCCGGGCCGAATCGGATCGCACGAACATCCAACTCGAATCGAACCGAGCCGGCCAAAATCGGTAGCGGATCGGATCGATCGGATCGAAAGGGACCCTGCGTGGCGGCGAACAGGATCGGGAACGGCGAGAAAGCCTAGTTAAAGAAGGAAGATTTCGACGGCTGCTTGGGAACCTCGGGTCAAGCTGGGGGGCCTCAGGTCGAACTGGGGGGGCCTCAGGCCTCAGGGAAACAAGCTATGACATGAACATGAGAACTTGGAGGTCCGCGCGGATTTCTCGGATCGGCGCTGGACCCCCTGAGCGCGCGGGGGGCGGCGCCAGGGGGCTCCAGCGCCGATGCGAGAAATCTGCGCGGACCTCGGATACGAGAATATGTTTCTGCTCCTGCTACCGTGTGTTCCCCTAGAGGCTAATGCCACTGTTCATGATGGGCCTGCTTTCCACCACCACCACTATGAGTTGGAGGGGGAGGGGGTCCTCCTCCTCCTCTTCTTCGTCCTCCTCCTCCTCCTCGTCCTCCACCTCTTTCCCCCCTCCAACTTATGGTGGTGGTGGTGGAAAACAGGCTCATCAAACCTGGTCCAACGAGCCCTTCCGGCAGCCTCCGACGGGAGGAGAGGATCGGCGGCGGGCCCACGGGGGAAGTGAGAAGGGGCGGGCCCTCCCAGAGGGCTTGGAAGTGCGCCGGCCTTCTGAGAAACTGTCCAAGCCTTCTCCGACGGCAAAACAAGAACCCTCGGGAGGCGCGAGGCCTTCTGAGAAGCCCCGCCGCCCTCTGAGGAGGCCTTCTCCTCCCCACTCTCCCCCCCCCTCCCCTCGCCGCCGATCCTCTGCTCTCCCCCCTTCTCCTCTCCTCTCCTCTCCTCTCCTCCCTCTTCCCTCCTGAGAAGGCCTCCTCCTCCTCTTCCTCCCTCCCTTGCCCCCCCCCGCTCGCCGCCGAGAGGAGGCGAGGGGAAGGCCCGTCCAGGCTGCAAACACGTCTCCCCCGGGGCCGGCGCAGGCGGCCGCCCCGCCCCGCGTGCGACGTGGCCTGCACCCGGACTGGTGGCCATGGGCTGCACGCAAAACAGGCCGGGAGAGAGAGAGGGAGAGAAAGAGAGAGAGAGTGAGAGAGAGAAACAAAAACAACAACAAAAAGCGAAGCCAGGACGAGGACAGAATCGGGTGAGGATAAGTCGGAGGACGGGATCCGGTGGCTCTGGAGGCTGCATCGGGCGTCGCGGCCTTCTCAGAGCGTTCCAGAGCGCTCCGGAACGGATTAAACCCTCGTCCTAGCCGCGACCGAGAGAGAAAGAGAAAGAGAGAACACCCACTGAGGGGCAGATCCCGGCCCAGCACGGGGCGTGGGTGGATGGCACCACAGTGCCTCAAATATAGGTTGGCTGTCATCACGTTGAAAAGAACAGAGATCATGAGTACGAGTGACCTCCTCGCCATCGCTCGGACGTCCATTACCTGTGTTTGTTTCGGTTTCGTGCGTGGTTTTTTCGCCAAATGATCAAGGATGCTCCTCGATGGTCATCGCCGAGAAAAAAATGCACACGTCCGAGCGATGCCAAGAACAGAGATCACGAGTACGAGTGGCCTCTGCTTGGGGAGCCTTCGTGGGAGTCTTCGTGGGAGCCTCCGTGGACCTCCGCGGCCCCATCCCCGACCATCAACGTGATATTTCGATCAGGCGTTGTCCAGATTCCGACCACCACTCCTCCTCCTCCTCCTCCTCCTCCTCCTCCTCCTCCTCCTCCTCCTCCTCCTCCCCCGCCTTTTCCTTCTCCTCCTCCTCCTCCTCCTCCTTCTCCTCCTCCTCCTCCTCCTCCTCCTCCTCCTCCTCCTCCTCCTCCTACCACCCCTCTTCAACCTCTCGTCCAAATGTCGTCCAGACGTCGACCAGATCCGACGACATCCGGACAAAACCTTGCAAACCGACGAAAGAATGTTGGGACCCTCGGATGCCCCCCGTCAAGGACCACACAAACCTCTGGCTCGCGGCTCTTTTGGGGGGGTGCGCGGAGAGGCCACACACGGGCGCGCCAGGCGCTACTACCGCACCGCGTGCGGCGATCGGGGGACCCCCGTGGGCCCGCACCGAAGGGCCACTACGGCGAAGGGCCACTCTTACGTTTGGTCTTAGTTCTTCTGTTCCGGGGGATGAACCGAAAAACCATGCCCCGCACCATTTCCATGTCGAGGATTGACAGCACCTCTGGAGGCGCTGACGCGGAAGAAATCACCCTATTTGCTATCCCTGTGAGGCGATTCCCCGGCGAGGCCCCCTTCTGTACACGTTAGTCCCCTGCAAGCGCTTCTTCTGTGCACGCCATCCCCAAGGGGGGGTGGGGGGTAGCGTGTAATCAGCTGGTCGGCGGCGCTATATCGCACGCTATCTTTGCAACGCCAAGCGTAGATGGGGTGTTCCCGCACATGCCGCAACCAGTACAGACCAGGCAAGGCGCAGCGTGGTCGTCCCAACGGCCGATCGGGGCTCGAGGACATCCACGGAAGAGACGGTAGGTGCAAGAGCCCATTGCTCGCGCACCAGAAGCACGATGCCCGCCCTGACTAAGGGACCATACAACAGCATAAACATAATCCCACCAGCCCTTTAGGGCGTAGGTGGTCTAGAGCGTTTCCTCTGCCAACCCCCCTTCTTTCCCTTCGGGGAGGGGTTTACCCCTCCCCTTACCCCTCCCCACTGACCTGGACGAGGCGTCTCGCGAGGTGTCAGGGCGCCCAAGATGGCTCAAGACGGCTCCAAGAGCGAAAAAGCGAGAAAGCACAAAACATTGATTCTACCTAGGTTTTGGAAGGATTTTGGCCTCTTGGGGGGGCCCAAGAGGCGCTTCGAGGCACTCTAGAGGGGCAACCCTAATTGGAGCTCCCCCCTTCTTTGATAGATCTCCTCCAAGATGGCCCCAAGAGCGCCCCGAAGGCTCCCAAGAGCGCCCCAAGAGCGCCCCAAGAGGGCCCCGAGAGACCCCAAGAGGCCCCCAAGAAGCCTCTAAGAGGCTGCCAAGAGACCCCCAAGAGGCCCCAAGAGAGTTCAAGATGGCCCAAGACGGCTCCAAGAGCGAAAAGGCGAGAAAGCAACAAACAATGATTTTACCTAGGTTTTGGAAGGATTTTGGCCTCTTGGGGGGCCCAAGAGGCGACTCGAGGCACTCTAGAGGGGCAACGCTAATTGGGGACCCCCTCTTCTTTGATCGATCTCCTCCAAGATGGCCCCAAGAGCGCCCCGAAGGCTCCCAAGAGCGCCCCAAGAGCGCCCCAAGAGCGCCCCAAGAGGCCCCAAGAGGCGCCCAAGAGGCCTCCAAAAGGCTCCCAAGAGACCTCCAAGAGGCCCAAGAGGCTCCCAAGACGGCCCAAGACGGCTCCAAGAGCGAAAAGGCGAGAAAACACAAAACATTGATTTTACCTAGGTTTTGGAAAGATTTTGGCCTCAAGAAGGGCCCAAGAAGCGATTCGAGGCACTCTAGAGGGGCAGCGCTAATTGAGGACCCCCCCTTCTTTGATAGATCTCCTCCAAGATGGCCCCAAGAGCGCCTCGAAAGCTCCCAAGAGCGCCCCAAGAGCGCCCCAAGAGAGCCCCAAGAGGCCCCAAGAGGCCCCCAAGAGGCCTCCAAGAGGCCCCCAAGAGACCCCCAAGAGGCCACAAGAGGCTCCCCGAGATACGCAAGAGGCCCCCGGGACCGCCAAGAGGCCCCAAAGACGGCCCAAGAGGCCCCCAAGCTCGCCATTGTCCTCCTCCTCCTCCTCTTTTTCTCCCTCCTCCCTCCTCCCCCTCCCCCTCCTCCGCCTCCTCCTTCTCCTCCTCCTCCTCCTCCTTCTCGTCCTCCTCGTCCTCGCCCTCCTCCATCTCCTCCTCCTCATCTTCCTCCTCCTCCTCCTCCTCCTCCTCCTCCCCCTCCTCCTCCTGCTCCTCCTCCTGCTCCTCGTCTTCCTCCTCCTACTCCGACGACGACGACTCCTCCTACATCCTCCCCCTCTTGGGGCGTATGGCGGCTCAACCCGCTCTTTGTTCTTCTGCATGCTCCCCCGCTTCCCTCATCACCTCCACTCCCCTGGGGCTCATTTCTGGACGGGCTGGTGGGGATACGCGAAGCGTCTAGAATTTCTAGGAAGTCCGAGTGGATTTCTTGGATCGGCGCTGGGCCGCTAGGACCCCCTCTTCAACGAGTCAGGGGGGCCGCCAGGGCGCCCTAACGCCGATCCAAGAAATCCACACGGACCTCCGAGAAACTCTGTTTGTGAAATTCGTCAACCGACAACTGCAAGATCCTACTGCTCGCGCACCGAAGAAAGCCTGCCGGCCCTGACTCAATATTCGGGACGTGTCTGGATGAGCAAAGAGAGCTCCTTGGAAGTCGTCGCGCGAAGCCTCCCTCGATCCTTTCTGACCAAGCCGAGTGGTGCTGCCGGCGAGCTCTGCCGCCCGCACGCAACCAGCCGGCCCGTCAGTGGAGAGGTGCCAGGAGCCCATGTAGATGCATATGTATATGTATGTGTGTGTATATATATATACACGGGCTCCTGGCACAGCAAAACATATATAATTCGCGGTATTAAGCCAGTGAGCGGCACCACCCCCCTCTCCTACCCCTGGTCACGTCACGACTCGCGTCGACGCCGTCTGGAAATGGGCTATTCCTCAGCATTCCCAAACGGCGCCAGCGCAAATCGTGAAGTGACCGGCCTCCGCCGCCCCCACCCTGCAGGATCCTGCGCGCTAGCCTGGATCAGTGCAAACCTGGCTTTGCAAGATCCTGCAAGATCTGGCGCTCTGGCTCACTCCAGTTTGAATTAGACTCTCCCAGGGTGCGTTCGGACCAGTGTTTCGAAACGAATCCAACGGTGGCGACGAGGGCCTCCCAGGAGACCCACAAAAAAAGGGAAGGGTAGCGGTATGGGTACATTTTGCTCCTCTGAGCTGACCCCCGTTTGCATTGACGTCCGTCACAAGGCTCCCGAGGAGGCCGAAGCCGCCGAGGCAGTGCCGCCGTGGCCAGGCCAGGGCTGCGCCGCCAGGAGCGCGGCCACGGCGACGCGCGGAGGAGGCGAGGAGACCGCGGGGACGGCGCGGTGCAAAGGCGTGCTTCAGGAGCGGCGAAAACTGGCAGCGACGCTCGAGACCAGGAGATACGATATTCCACGCTTGCGACCCAATGTCTGCCATCCCGCAACAAAAAGAAACAACACGGCCTGGTGGTCGCCCTTCCGATGCAGCATGCATTGGATCTGCGTTCGTCGTCTGACGAGACGCCGATAACAAGGGGGGAGGAGAGGGAGGAGGACCAGGAGCGCCCAGCCAGGCAAGGGGGAGTCCACCGAGCATACGTATGCGACCTTCAGCCCGAGATCGCGACGGGGGGCATGAGCCACAAAGCGGCGCGAGCACTTCAAATCGAGCGAGCATTGGCGCGGGCCCGATATCAGATACGACTTCCCTCATCCTCCTCGTCGTCTCCCTGGTTCCTGGTTCCTCATGGCTGCATGGTCGTACCGACGAAGCCTCCCTTCTTCCTCCTCCTCCTCCTCCTCCTCCTCCTTCTCCTCATCATCCTCATGCTCATCTCTCCACCCTCCCCCACCTCCTCCTCTTTGATATCATCATGAGCAGCATCATCATAATCCTCATGAGCTCAGAATCAGCATCAGCATCATCATCATCACCACCACCATCATCATCATCATCATCATCATCATCATCATCATCATCATGATCACAATCATCATCATCACCATGAGCATCAGCATCAGCATTGACAGCATCACCACCACCACCATCATCATCAGCATCGTCATCAAACCATCACAATCGCCAGCAGCATCAGCATCATCATCATCACAAGCAGTATCAGCGTCATCATTAGCATCAACATCAATGTGACCATTACCACCACCATCACCACTATCATCAGTAGCATCATCAGCAGCATGAGTACGATCATCAGCATCACCAAAACAATCCGCCTACTCATCACAATCACCATCACCACCGCCATCACCATCACCATCACCACCAGCACCATATTCAGCATCAGCATCACACTCAGCATCAGCATCAGTATCAGCATCACCATCATTATCATCATCGCCATCAAAAGGATGTTCATCACCATCACCACCAACATCGTCATAACCACCACCACCATCATCATAATCATCGCCATCGTCATCATCAGCATCATCATCGTCGTCATAGTCGTCGTCACCACCATCACCATCGCCATCATCCTCAACATCATCAACATCATCAATATCAACAACATCGGCAACACGATCAATATCATAATCACCATCAGTACCGGCATCAGCACCATCATCATCAGCAGCATCAGCATCAGCATCAGCATCAGCATCAGCATCATCATCATCAGCATCATCATCGTCATCCTCGTCCATCGCCCCGATCCCGCCACCTCCATCCACGATCATCCCCCTCTGCCGCCGAAGTCCTGACCGCCGCGGCGACTGCGCGAGCGCGCGGCGCCTCCGACGCCGTGTAGGCCAGCAGCCACCACGGGTCGCTCCAGTCCCACCAGGACACCTTCCATGGGCGAGTGGGGAAGACGAAGACGGACGAAGCGGGAGCACGAGGATGATGAGGCACAACGGGGGAAAAGGAACGAAGAGGAAGGAGGAGGATAGATACCAAAGGCAAATTCGCCGGTCCTACCACTCCCTTGTGAAAGGGGGCCTCCCGTGTGGGGGCGAGGAGAATTAACGCAAGAGAAAACGGAGAATTGCCCCGGCACCGCTGCCTGGCAAGACCAGCCAGGGAATCCTCGCTCAACGGAACGATTATCCACCCTGCTCCATCGGCGGAGAGATGTGTCACAGACGATTTGTTTCGCGTCCCTGGAACGTGACAGCTGCCAAAGGTCCAATGGTACAGAACGAACTTACGTACATACATACATACATACATACATACATACATACATACATACATACATACGTACGTACGTACATACGTACGTACGTACGTACGCACATACATACATACATACATACATACATACGTACATACATACATACATACATACATACATACATACACACACATGCACACGCAACGTGATATTCCCCAAACTGAACATATGCATTACGCTCAAGGTCGCAGTGAGCTTACACGGTGACCCAGTTTTGCACCTTCTGACAGGCGCACTGGCTTGAGCGATCAAGTAAACCAACTCCTGAACGGACCATCTATACAAACGCTGCCAATTGTCCGATGTTGCCCAAACGAAATTCAACAGCGTATGCTTAGACGTGCCGCATAATATAAATGCCTATGTTGGTTCAGCCGAGCCCTCTTCCAACTGCATCACGGCTCCAAGGAGAGAAAGATGGAGACATGAAGAGAGAGAAAGAGAGAGAGAGAGAAAGAGAGTTAGAGGGAGTGTGTATGATAACGAGACGTAGAGGCTGACCAGGGCAGGAACCATGGTGGGGGGCGGCGCGGGCGGGGAGAGCCAAAAGAGCCGAACACGGAACTAACGCTGTGACTGTGCAATCGGGGGCGGGGGGGCGTAAGACCATCTGTCGTCGGGTCGCATCGAATCTGTCTCTGCCACCCCGCCCAGCTTGTAAGCACTGCACCATGCGGCCAGGCCATTAGCGCGGTGCCGAGAGCGGGGACAGCGCTCCGGAAGAGGATTCGGGACCCCACTCGCCGACACCGAACTGGGCTGGCCGAGCTGAGAATTCACCCAGTCCGATCCTGCCCCTGCCTCCCCCCACCCCCTCCTGGTCCGTGTCTGTTCGGTGCGCTACTCCTCGTCCTCCCTCCCCTCCGCCCCTCCTGCCGGCCGGGAGATCCAACCCGCGGGCGGCCGGAGTGCGGTGGGCGGGCCAGTGGCTCCACTCGTCAGCATAGGGGGTCTGGCTCGATCCGCTGGGCTGCGCTCGCCAGGGCGAGCTTCGGAGGCCCGAGACTGCCCGGTGGCCCACGTTTTGGCGAACGTATCGCGTCAGACCTGCGTGCTCGATCCTGACTCAGGCGCCTGTGGACTTTGGATCATGCTGATCACTGGCCGTGTCCTCCAAACGCAATGCGGAGGCAACATGGCTGAACGAGGCAGCAGGGTCGACCTCGGCAGGAAGACTCGTTTCGTGCTGGCTGGCAGCTGCAATACGGGCGGGTGAGCTTAAACAGACTACGTGTGGATGGATACCTTAAGACACATTGCTCCTGACCGTGTTGTTGCTTCTGCCGAGCGTGGCTGGGTATCGACCCGAGACACTACTCTTGGAGGTCGCACCCTGCACCTCAAACAAAGAAAACAGCCCGACACATCAGAAACATCAAAAGCGCTGGGCTGTGCCCCAGCTCCTCGGCAGAGTCAATAATGTGCTGCTTGGGCCCCGGACAAGCACCCACAGTAGGTTTTGCGTCTGCTCTGGACCCCTGCCGACAAACAGGACACCTCCCAAACTGTCCCCGACACTGCCGCTCGTGCTCACGATGAAACGAAATATCAGGTCCAGTCGAGACTTCTTGCTCGAACACGACTCCAGCCAGACAAAGACGAGGCCACTGTGGAAGAAGTTTCACAGCAAGGCGAAGAGAAATAATCGTTGGCGAAACACATATCCGTATCCGCGACCTCGCGGGTCCGCGTTCTCCGTGCCCTGGGCCGCGACCCCGCGGATGTGGGACGATGTTTCGCGGATGCCCCGCGCGGAACTTGTCCGTGCGACTGCGTATCCGCGTGACCGCGCCCCAGAATCCAGACCGCGAGGGCGAAGTGATATGTTCGCCGCTCTGGAGAGCACGTCTGGGTTCCCATGCCCCCGACGTCATTTTTGTACATAACATCGACCCCCAAAGGTCTCGACCCACTCCCCGGGACAACTATTCATCCTGAGTCGACTTCTGACGACCCCAGGGCACGCCGAGCGCCCCATGGAGGCCGAATGTAAAAATATCGTCCGTTGTGTGTGGTTTTTTGGGGGGCGGAAAGATACGGATACGTGTTGTCCCCGGACCTCTCTTGGGGTGCGTTCTGACCAGAATTTCGAGGCGAATCCAGCGGTGACAACGAGGATTCCCCAGGAGGACCAGGAAAGGCCGAAAACGAAGGGGGACAACACGTATCCGTATCTTTTTCTCCCCCGAGTTGTGTTCATAAGCCCTGGGGACCGGTAGTCTGAGGGTGCGGACATGTTCGCCGCTCCGCCAACGACGCTGGCGCTGTGAGGCGCCAGCGTCGTCGGCGGAGCGGGGAGCAGGATGGAGGAGGATCAAGGAGGAGGGTCGAGGAGGAGGTAGCAGGGAGGAGGAGGAGGAGGAGGAGGAGGAGGAGGAGAAGGAGGAGAAGGAGAAGGAGGAGGAGGTGGAGGGGGAGAAAGATGAGGAGGAGAAGCCTTCATGTCCTTGTCGCCGACGCCGGAGCTGTCAGGCAACGGCGCCGGCGCTAGCGGCGCAGCGGAGGCCAGCGGCGTGGGCCGCTGCAGTGTCCCGTAGTCCTTCGGGGGCACCCGATACTCCAGGCTGGGCCAAACGTGGAGGAGGGAAGGGTGCTAGGAGGGCGTGGGTGCATATATATATATATATACACATATATATATATATATATATATGTCTATACGCACGCATATATGTAGATATGTAGATATGAATATTGACACACAGACCACTCCATCCCAATAATTCCCTGCACTGTATTTATTATCCTGTTCCTTCGCACGTCTCCCTCTCACTCTCTCTTTTTATATTGCGCGCTCTCTCTCTCTCTCTCCCTCCCTCTCTCCCACTCACTACATCGCTGTCTCTCTCTCTCTCTATCTATCTCTCTCGCTCTCTATATCTTTCCCTTCCTATCCAAACACTATGGCACGTCTACATACACCAAACATGATTGCCAGCGTGGACCCCAGACAGTAGTGATTGCACGGTTTGATGTGTCCGGTACGTGGTGCAATGCGCAATACATGTACAAGCTACGTGGTGCAGTGCATGTGCTGCAAGCTGCGTGGTGTCAGCTACGTCGTGCAAGCTTGTCGGTGCAAACTCCGTTGTGTAGACTGCGCTGTGTAAGCCATGTGGTGTGCGCTGTCTATGCGGCGCAAGCTATGTGGTGCAAGCAAGGTCCTCGGCCTTCGGCAGGCGGCGACGAATACGATCATCCTCACCCCTCCTCATCCAACCCCACCCCCCACCCTTCCGTCCTCCTCCCTCCTCCACCCTCCCGCCCCCCCTCCTGCTGGGAGAGACGATCACGACGAGGAGGACGACAAACAACAACGAGGCCACAGGAGGGACGGCCCCCTCTCGACCTGACCACGATCCCCCGGGCTGGCTGTGGCCGTGGCCATGGGAGGCAGACCCCAACGGAGAGCGCGGGAAAAAAACACTCTGATCCTCGACCGCCGCCGTTGGCGACGAGCGACGAGCGACGCCCTCGACGACGACGGCGACGACAACGACGACAACGACGGCGGCGGCGACGGCGGCCGTGGCGGCAGCGACGACCACGGCAGCGGCGGCGACAACGTCGTCGACGGCGGCTGCGGTGCGGTGGCAGCGGCGGCCACCGCGGCGGCATCCTGAAAAATCATGCCGCAGCCCCATACCCCATCTTGCTGGACTACTTTGGAGCCCGATCGATCTCATGGTCCAGGGGCCCGAGACAAGACAGAATCAGCCGTTGTGGCAAAATTGCTGTTTTTCCTAACCATCCCGTGATGTTGGGTCCTCGTTTTGAAGAGACGGTCCCCGCGTCCCTCCTCCCTCCTTCCTCCCTCCTCCTCCCCCCCCCTCCCTCCTCCCCCTCCTCCTTCCTCCCTGCGTTCCACCCACCCAGCACAGCGATTCGTGGCCCCATGGGGAGCTCCACCGAAGGCCCCAGTGGCAAGGCTCGCATGGCGGCCCCGCCCCATTTTGGCGCACCCCTCACACGGTTCGTGGCCCCATTGTAAGTTCCCCTTGCTTCTCACCTGCCCTGCGGTTCTCACACTTGCGTATGGCTGGGTCCTTCGCCAGGATAACTCTTGTTTTTCCCCACATCCTGAGTGGGGTTCTTGTTTTCCCAGAACACCCTCTCCTTCTCCTCCTCCTCCTCCCGCGTCCTTCTCCTAAACCATACCATACGATACCATCCCGCACATCACCATAGCCATACCACACCAGTACCATACCATACCAATACCATACCAATACCATACCAAGCCATACCATACCAATACCATACCATACCCATACCATACCATACCAAGCCCTACCATACCAAAACCATACCATACCAATACCATACCAAACCATACCAAGCCATACCATACCAATACAATACCATACCAATACCATACCAAGCCATACCATACCAATACCATGCAACACCTGATATTTATCAGGTTTCGTCTGAGCTCCCTCCCACCATACCAATACCATACCAAAACCATACCAATACCATGCGCCCCTCCCACCCCTCCAGGGAGGCCCCGCCTGAGCGAGGACGCTATTCGAAAACAGTGTTATGTATCAGGTTTCGTGCCCCTGCCACCCCTCCAGGGAGGCCCCGCCTGAGCGAGGACGCTATTCGAAAACAGTGTTATTTATCAGGTTTCGTGCCACTCCCACCCCTCCAGGGAGGCCCCGCCTGAGCGAGGACGCTATTCGAAAACAGTGTTATTTATCAGGTTTCGTGCCCCTCCCACCCCTCCAGGGAGGCCCCGCCTGAGCGAGGACGCTATTCGAAAGCAGTGCTATTTATCAGGTTCCGTGCCCCTCCAACCCCTCCAGGGAGGCCCCGCCTGAGCGAGGACGCTATTCGAAAACAGTGTTATTTATCAGGTTTCGTGCCCCTCCCACCCCTCCAGGGAGGCCCCGCCTGAGCGAGGACGCTATTCGAAAGCAGTGCTATTTATCAGGTTTCGTGCCCCTCCCACCCCTCCAGGGAGGCCCCGCCTGAGCGAGGACGCTATTCGAAAGCAGTGCTATTTATCAGGTTTCGTGCCCCTCCCACCCCTCCAGGGAGGCCCCGCCTGAGCGAGGACGCTATTCGAAATCAGTGTGATTTATCAAGTTTCGTGCCCCTCCCACCCTCCACGGAGGCCCCGCCTGAGCGAGGACGCTATTCGCGAACGGTGTTCTTTATCAGGGTTCGTGCCCCTCCATCCCCTCCAGGGAGCCCCCGCCTGAGCGAGGACTGTAGTCGCGAACAGTGTTCTTTACCAGATTTCGTGCCCCTCCCACCCCTCCAGGGAGGCCCCGCCTGAGCGCCTCCAGGGAGGCCCCGCCTGAGCGCCTCCAGGGAGGCCCCGCCTGAGCGAGGAGGGTATTCGCGAACAGTGTTATGTATCAGGTTTCGTGCCCCTACCACCCCTCCAGGAAGGCCCCGCCTGAGCGAGGAGGGTATTCGCAAACCATGTGATAGAAAAGGATGGAGAGGGCGAGGGCAGGTCGGCCATTTCATGACACAATGATCCTTGATTCCGCTATCCCAATAACATCATTATGTGGGGAACTCCGTTAGCATATTTCTGGACGTTCCATGTCGGGGCCGTCGTGCGTCTATCAAACATGAAAAACAAAACGCGGCGGCGCAATACAGAATTCTCCGAACGAAATACCACACCGTTTGCAGTCGACAGGAAAGCAGTTGTGATTATCGCCTTCGGAGGAGCTCCCTATGGGGCCACGCAACGCGTGAGAGGTGTGCCCAAATGGGAGCGAACCAACAATTGCCAAAAAAATGGGACCAGTCTGCTAGCACGCCGATACGTGCGCGCGCATGGATGAGGAACAAAGTGCCCAGCCTCCGGCAAAGACATGACAACGTCGACCCTCAGATGTCTCGCCCCATATCCCCCGACTAATGTTCATCCTGACTGGTTTTCGGTCCAGGCAGGCCAGGGAGGTCCCCGGAGGCAGAAAACGTCCGAAAACTGCCCGCCGTTATTTTCCCACGACGCGGAAAGGGTCTGGGATCGACTCGATCCGAGCGAGACCTCGATCCTATACCCTGAGGTCTGACGTTGCGAAACAAAACACTTTGCGGAAACTTACGGTCCGAACCCTGGACCCAATCTTTCAACTACATTTGTCGACTCGGATCGATCTATGATGTCCCTGGTGACCGAAGCCAGGCGGAACCGCCCAGCCAGGGAAATTGCAACGCCCAAACCTCAGGGCTCCTCCCTTCCCTCGCTTCTCGGGCCATACGCCAGGCCACCGCCGGCCGTTCGGGACGATCCAGGCACACCCGGAACGCTCTCGGGGAGGCGCAGCTGCTGGAAGGCATCCCGAGGCTGGGAGGCCGCCGATGACCAGCGAACGCACCCGAAACCCACGAGCCCCAGCGAAAACACCCAGGGAACGCACGACGACCCCGAGAGCCGCGAGCGAGACTGGGATCCCATCGGCCTCCGTGGCTGCGGCGGCGGCGGGCCGCGGCAGCGGTAGGCGGCGGCATGCGAACGCTACTCCCAAAACCATCGATGCTCCTGAGTCGATCGGAGGCGCAGATGGGGCTTGGATCTCGCCGCGCGCTCGACGAACTCCGAGCTTCAGCCCCGCCGCCGATCGAGTTGCCTGGGTCGTGGATCGGCGAAGGTAGGGTTTGGATTTCGACGCCGTCGTCGTCGACGTCGTCGGCGGCGGCGGCGTCGTCGTCGGCGGCGGCGACGTCGTCGTCGTCGTCGTCGGCGGCGGTGTCGGCGTCGTCGTCGACGTCGTCGTGGGCGGCGGCGGCGGCGTCGTCGTCGGCGGCGTCGTCGCCGGCGTCGTCGTCGTCGTCGGCGGCGGCGTCGTCGTCGTCGGCGGCGGCGGCGGCGTCGTCGTCGTCGGCGTCGTCGGCGACGAGGCGCCTGCGCAGGGGGGGGCCGCGGCAGCAGCGCCTCGGCGTGCGCGGCGGTCATGGGGGCAGCCATGGCCTGCGCGCGCGCGCTCCCTGCGCGGCGCACCCCGCCGTCCTCGCGGCCTCGCGGCCTCCTCGTGGATCCTCGAGCCTCGAGCCTCGAGCCTCAGAACTCCTGCCCCTCCATCCCCCGATCCTCATCCTCGCTCCTCGCTCCTCGCTCCCTCTCGATCCTCCTCGAAGCCTTCTCGCCCTCGGTCGTCGTGCGCGCGACGCGCGGCGCACCCGTCCGTCCTCGCGGCCTCGCATCTGGCGTACCCCGAGATATCGGGGTCGCAATTGAGCGGCGAAAGATAAAGAGTCTTACGCGAGCTGGCATGACGGCCTTACGCGGTGGCTTACGCGGGCCGCCGGCGCGGCACACTGCATGGGAAACGAAGGCGCTGACGCGCGACCTTACGCGGGCAACTTACGCGCGAATGTCCGCGCAATGGAACCTTTTCCTGCGTCGGTCGTTTCTTCCTCGCAACTGGGACCCTCACGGACCGATCGGGCTCGGAAAATTCAAAGAAAGGTAGAGTCCAGGGCTCCAGGTGTGAGGAGTAGCGGTATTTGTTTTTGTTGGGGGGGGGGACCATGGAGCCTCTAGGGTTCTCTTTCCTGAAAGAGGCGAAGTGACCAGGTGTGAGGAGTAGCGGTATTGGTATCTATCCCCAGCTCCGCCCTCGCCGCCGCCTGCATTGCCGCTGCCGTCGTCAACCTGGGGATGAGGAGGGGGGGAGGAGGTGTGGGGGGGGACAGGAAGTGTGCAAGATGCGAGCATGAGGGCACGAGGAGAGAGAGAGGGGGGCGGGGGAAGAGGGAAGGCTCGATGGGGCTCGGGGAGGGTCGGCTCGCTCGCGATGGACGGCCCAGGGCAGGCCCCTCGAAGCCGAGCCCGATCGACATCCTTCTCCCCCTCCCGATCCCCCGCCACTCCTCCTCCCCACCTCGCCTCCTTCCCTGCGCCTTTCTTCTGCGCTCCTCACTCAAAGTGGCAAGGGAGGCAGGAGTGGCGATCCCCATCCCCGCTGGCATGACCTTGGCCCAGTCACCGACTTGTGCCCCCGTAGATGGGAATAGAGGCTGTTCCCTTCGGGCTTCGAAGGGCATGACCCCAACTGACAGGGTGGGATGATAGGGATAAGATATTACGGCCCGGTGGGGATGGGGATTGGTTAAGCGATACTGACCTCCCGATCCCCCGCAGCTTACCCTTCCCACTTCGCCGTCCCTGCGCCATTCTTCTGTTCTGCCAACTCGAACTGGCAAGGGAAGCGGGAGTGCGGTTGCGAAAGATGGTTCGCATCCGGCGCGCCACTGTCGGGGCCGTGATGCTCCCTGCGTGTGGGCCAGGCTGCGAGGGCCACGACATCTTTTTGGTTACACTGGGACCTCAACGTTGCCGAGGGGGGAAGGACTGAGGGATGAGGATGAGCAGCAAAAGTATCGCACCTGTTCGGTGCGCTTGCTGAGCCTCTGGAAACCTCTGCGGGCGAGGCCCCCGGGCCTCCAGAGACATCCAGGGGCTTGCTAGGAGCACGGGAGCCCCCTATCCCCATCCCCCAGCCTCCCCACACACTATCCCCTGCTTCGTCTCCTCCTTCCCTGATCCCAGCCGTTCTGGCGCAGGTTTGCGCTTGCTGCAGCTGGATTCAGAACGGCGACGCTGCAGCGAGCCTTTTGGCTTGTATACGATTTCGCCTCCATCCGGAGGCAGACGAGTAACCAACGACCAAGGCGCCGCCGCCATGGCGCCTTCCCCACCTCCATCCTGCGGTGTTCCGCGGGCCGAAGCGGCCAACATGGGGATGCGGACGTTGCGCTGCCTCGGCGAACTGGGCATCGAGGATCCGCTGCCAGTGTGGGAATGAAGCTCCGATGCGGATCAGGAAGCTGGCCTGGGACCATCACAGCGCGATTGTCAACGGCGAGAGCCCCCCGCAGAAGCGCAACAAGAAAGATACGTATGACAAGAATGATACGACATCCAAGAAGTTGGCGGAGTTGGAGAAGTTGCTGCGGTCCCTCACCATTGGGGGCAGCAGCCCGAATCCAGCCAAGCCGCCGCCGTGGACTGCTGCACCGCCGCCAGCGGCAGTCAACAAGGAGCCGATCTCGGATGATGATGATGACAAAACCAAGCGTGAGAAGCTGGCGGCACAGCTGGCCACGCATGAAAGCATGCTCAATAACCTTCCTGGCAATGATGCAGACGATCCAGTCAGGCAGGTCACCATGGAGAAGGTGCGCGAGATCAAGGAGCGGCAGAAGGCTCTGCGCACGCCTGAGATCGCCTACCGAAGGGTCGCTCAGGACTTGCACAAGGCCAAGATTCAAAGGGACCGCCTTCAAAAAGAGCTTGCTGATAAAGAGAAGCAACTCAAAGAGCTACAAGAGTCGGTCGAGGCGCGCAGGACACACCTGGCTGCGAAGCAGGCGGAGGTCACAGCGCTTGAGGCCGAGCACAAGCAATCGGCAGCCGCGATTGCAGCCGACAAAGGGGCTGATGCAGCCATGGAGACTGAGGAGACTGAGTTCGACATCTCCGTCTCCGCAGATGATGTTCAGGCAGAATAGCTCAAGACCTTCCTCGACTCCGAGATGTGGTCAACGCTCAAGGAGGTCATCATGCAGACGATCAAGGCAGGCGTGTTCGCTTCACAGAAGGGCGCTGCTGCTAATCCCGCTGTTACTGATGAAGTGCCTCCTGAATCTCATAGTGACCGCAGACCCGACTCCACCTCCAAGAGGACCTGTGACGAGCTTTCTGAGACAGAGCTCAAGGATCTCTTTGAGCATGGCAAAGCCAATGATTTCTCCAGCTTTCAAGGAATATACAAAGAGCTTGCTAAGCAACAACTTTGTTCCTGATGCCCCTACGCGATGGACGCTGGAGCTAGGGCAGCAAGGGTATGCACCTATTCGGGTCTCTGGTCTACCGATCGCCCAGGGAATGACGAAGCTCCCCCTCCTGCTCAGGCTCTTGGTAACTACGTCGTCGAGTGCTTCAACGGCAATGGTGGCAAGCAGACGGTGACAGAGAATATTCAAAAGTCATCTGCCCACACCCTGCTGCTGCAAGAAAAAGGTGCTTGTGAAGGCGATTTGGAATCTTTGTTCTCAATGACGCACGCTCGAAGATGGAAGATGATGGCAGTTCCCAGTCGTCTTAGTCGAGCAAGCACAGTTCGCAAGGCCTGCTCCGCGGGTGTTGCCGTTTTGATTCGCAGCGATCTTGGGCTCAGGGCACCTGTTCACCATGATCACGTGGTTTTCCCTCATCGGTGCCAGCATGTGCTTATCGATATGCCAGGCTGGCCACCGCTGCATGTGCTAAATGCGCACCTCAAGGACGGCATCGGCGTGACGGGGGTCAACAGCGACATTCTCTCTCGCATGGGTATCCTATTTGCTCAGATACAGGCGCCTGTGATTGCTGGGGCGGACTGGAATATGTCTGTGACGCAACTTGAGAGCTCAGGGTTCCCGAGGTTGGCCAATGTCACAATGGCAGCACCGAAGCAGGCAACATGTCGAGGAGGCACAGGAGTGTCAACCATCGACTACTTTGCGCTGAATGGTTCCGCTTTGCGAGGTTTTCAAGGCGTGGAAGCCGACATGCGTTGGTGCAAGCGCCCACATCGACCAGTGTTGCTCAAACTTTTAGACCACGGGCAGAAGATTCGGCATTTCATATACACGGTTACGCCTGCGCTCCAAGTTGAGCGAATCACAGGGCCGCTTCGAGAGGGGCCGAATTGGAACACACACCATATTCTGGCAAACGCGTGCTTGGACATGGCTCAGGACGTGAACAGCGATGTTGCAGTGGCGTGGGTGCTTCTATCTAGATTGCGGGGACATTTCGCGGTCACGGCTGCGATCGAGGTGGCCCACGCGACAGGATATGATCTAGTGCAGGCAGGCAGCTTTGGGCGAAACTTACAGCCGAGGTGGGTTGATGTCAGTTATGAGGAGAAACCTGACTTGATGGCTCAAGCAGTTGCTGACGGATGGCAGTGGCTATCTACGAGTCTAACTACGATCACTCAGCTCTTCAGAGGCACGCAGTACCTGGAGCAATGTTCTGAAGAGATATACCACTTTCCTGCCAATCCGCACAGTGGACAAGGGCTAAGTGGACGACTGGACGCGTCTGTTTCGCAGGCTCGAGCGATGGTTGCGCGGATCCCGATGGAGGTAGACGACGTTCTCCAGCTCGTAGAAGAGATTGCAGACGACGTGGAGTTTGCAAGTAAAGCCATGATGCGAGATGTGACAGAGGCCTGGGAATGCTGGTGTATCGAAGCTTCTGCGAAGGGTGCCAGGGCTCTTCGTCGGGTAACGAAGGTGCGCAAGATACCTGTTCCTGCCGTGTCACAGGGTTATGTAGTCCCGGGGGGGTCCACGAGACATTGCACAAGGCGAAGTTGACGCATGCCGCAGACTCTGGAAGGCAACCGACACGGCACCATCTGCATGTATTCCAGATCGTACAACATGCACGAGGCTCACGCCAGATCAGATCCGAAAGGTTGTGAGGACTCTCCCCAAAGGGACGGCCTCGTCATTTGATCACTTCCACCCGCGCCACGCTCTGCTCTTGGGAGACTCTGGTTTGGAGGTTCTCAGTGGCATCTGGGCGATTTCGGAGGCCATTGGAATGCTGCCCAAGCAACTCTGCTGGATTCAGATGCCGATGCTAGGCAAGCCCGCTGGAGGCAACCGACTGATTATCTTGTACGCGGGAATGTACAGGATATGGCAGCGAGCTAGGCGCAGCGTGGTAGCAGGAGCGATAGACAGTTTGGAGCGTAAGTTCTGGGGCGCTTCCAGGGGCAGGTCAGCGATTGACTGTGCGCGGCTTCAAGCAGCACGAGCTGAAGCGAAACAGGCTGACTCCCTTCACTCAGCGCTATTGGTGATAGATTGGTCCAAGTATTATGAATCGATTCCCTTGCCGTCATTGCGAGACATATGTATTCAAGTGGGCATCCATGCATGCTGGCTGAAGCTTGTGTACAACACATG